TTTTTTTTTTTTTTTTTTTTTTTTTTTTGTACTGGGGACCGAATTTGAGACCTTGTGCTTGCAAGGCAGGTCTGGTGCCAATGAGCTAAATTCATGGCCCTAGACCCTGTCTTAAAGTAAAAAGAAAAAGGGGTGGGGTAGCTCAGTGCAAAGGCCCTGGGTTCCATCCTCAGTAGTGGGGTGGGTGGGCAGTACCAGTGCTGTAACCCTCAGGTAATAATACCAAGGTACTTAGGCACCAAGGCAGGAATATCGCAAGTTAGAGGCCAGCCTGGACAACTTAGCAAGTCTGTCTCAAAAAGGAGTAGAGATGTAGCTCAATGGTTGAGTACTTGACTAGCACAACCAAGGCCCCGTGTTCTGTCCTTAGCACCACCAAACAACAACAGCACCCAATGGCAACCTCCTCTCCCTTGATACTCTCTCCCCAAATTGCACTTAAGTTTTGACTCCAAATTTTAATCTACACGGTGTCAGGGATTTAACTCAGTGGTTCTGCCGCCTGCCTCACAAGTACAAGAGCCCGACTGATCCCCGGAACAACAACAACAACAAAAATCATAACCTACACGTGAGCTCAGCCTCACATATCCAAATACCAGCTGGACATCCCCAGACAGCTTGTCAAGTCAGTAAGGGAAGAAAGAAGCTCATTTTGTCTTCTTCAAGTAGCATACTGGGGATTGGCAGCACCATTGGGCCCACTGTTTAAGCCAGAAATCAGGGATTCTGTTAGACCCTCCTTTCCCTCTCCCCACACCCGGTCATTCACTGTTCCATGCTCAGTCTTCTGTCACCTGCATATCAATGCTCCCTGGGAATCCTGCAATAACCACTATCAGCATTATTTTTAAAATAAGTAACCCATTTACATTTTCAAGAGGCATAAAGGGGATTAAAGTGTAAAATTTTCCTTCACTTGTCTCCCAGCTGCCCCATCCCTCATCCCAGACACAACTAATACTACATTTTTAAAAAGTGTGTCTTTCCAAGAATGTTTTGAATGTGTATTTATATATCCTAGCTTCCTTTCTCTACTCAAATTGTAGAATACAGAGTCCTGCGTTTTTTTGTGTAATTTATTTTTGAGATCTTATCAGTATGTAGAGCGTGTTTTTGTTGTTGTTCCCAATTTATGGCTGACAAATATCCCTTTGTATAAACTCAAGAGTTGACTTATCCAGACCCTTTTTTGTTTCTAATCACTTATCATAAATAACACCATAATGAATAACCTTGTATTCCATAGTTTTGCCAAGTCATTTATAAGGAAATTCCTAGAAGTAGCACTGTTGGATCAAAGAGCATTTGTAATTTCTTGATAGACATATGGGCTTTTTTTTAATTAAAATTAACACAAGCACACAAATTTAAGAATTCTAGAGCTGGGGATTTAGCTCCATGGTACTGTCGCCTGCCTGGCGAAAGCTAGGTTCCAAGTTCAATCCCTGGCACACACAAACACACACACACACACACACAAATTCTACATGATGTGTTACAAAAAGAGTAAACACCATACCCAATGGCACCTCTTTTAGCCGTTTCTTTTTAAAGCCTCTTGAACTCTAGATACAGAAATGCTTTGCAAATTTTCGATTTTAGTATTATCGGTCGACTCCTGTCCACAGAAGATGAAGATCTGGTGCTTTTCTATATTCTGATTTCACTCTACACACATATTCTTTGCACCTCTCTCATCTTCCCAGTTGTACTGGGCCAAAGTGTGTGCTACATGACTGATGGAATTATGCGGAACCTTACCAAAATTAAGCCATGCAGTTAGTGTTTACTACTTTAACTTTTTCACTGAGATAGTCTCTTTAGACTAGTTTAACATATATATTATTTATTTATTCTTTCCTTTTCTTTTCCGGTACAGGGTATGAACTCAGGACCTTGCGCTTGTGAGGCAGGCACGGCGCCATTGAGCTAAATCCCCAGCTCCCCATTCTTCTTTTCATTTTTTTGGTTTTTTTGAGACAGGGTCTCACTACGTAGTTGAGACTGACCTGGAACTCACTACGCAGCCTAGGCTGGTCTCGAATTTACAATCCGCCCGCCTCAGTCTCCCGAGTGCTGGGATTACAGGCGTGCGCGTCCGCTTTTTAAAATGTGACTCTGGAGGTTCAAAAGTAGTCCCTAGAGCTTACCAGCCAGGCATCGTTGAGGACACCGCTTAGCAACTCTAAGCTTCTGTCTTACCTCACCTGTGAACCGGGCCCATAACTGCCTGCTAGATAGGGGAATTTCTTAGGACCCGAGGAGGCGCTTTCTTCATTCTCGCCCGGCCTGCTCAGTGCCCTGCTCGGGGATTGCAAGCGTACTCTAGACCCAGCCTCTTTTTCTCCGATCGATTCTTCCCCTGTACACCGAAACAGCTGCGGAGGAAATTAAAATATGCGAAGTGCGCCCAGTGAACCCGGCGTGGGGCCACCTCCCCACCGCTGTCGCTTCAGCGCGTCTCTTTCTGCTGGGCTGCGTTCCCCCTAGGCAGGGCGCCTCAGCAGCCCAGCTCGGGATCCTCCCCGCGTGGGTCCGCTAGACTTTTCCGGAGCCTACTAGCACCTCACTCCCCCCAGGGAAGCCACCCCCTCACCGGAAGTGAGCGGGTCCGAGGGCGTTCCCGTCCGACCCAATCTTGGGCGGAACGCCGTGGCACGCGGACGGGTTCTCCGCGGGACGGAAAAGGAGTGCGCACTGACCAAAGCGCTTCTCCCGCGACATGGCCTTCAATTTTGGCCCTCCCTCAGGTACCTCAGGCGCCACTGCAGCCACTGCAGCACCTGCGGGTGAGTTCTCCCTTTAGGACTCCGTTAAGAGGGGAAGAAGACTTTGGTCGGCCCCTTCAGTCTTAGATTTTGCGGCGTGTGCATGGTGGGGTCTCCCGACCGCGCAAAAGACTTTGGGGGCACTGGAAAAAGGCGGGCGGCCGCGTAATGGGTTCCTGAGGAGGCCGCGGGGTGTCAGACCCGGCTCGGGGTTCGCCGCCGGGTGTTCCCGGAGGGGCCCCATTCTCCCGCGGCTGACTTCCCGCCGCTGGGGGGTCGAC